TCAAAAAAAAAATAAAAATCTGTGTCATGATGCAGACTAGGCTTCTCCACTACCTCGCCCAGTTTCGTCCCCAGTTGCCTACCTGCCTTTTCCTCAACCTGACACCTGAGCTGCTGTGAGTCCCTGAAGGCTGCTGTGCAGGATGAGTGCAGTGCAGGACAGACCTTCCCCAAAGACGTCAGCCCCGGGGAGAGCTTCCTGGAGACAAATGTAGCATGCAGTGCCCTATCTGTGTCACTTTAGAAGTCATCAGAGTGGAAGAAACGAGGAAAAAAAATAATCTGCACCTCTAACATCCCAAGTGAGTTTCCATGTGTAAATAATTACAACGTGCATCCTTTGGGCCCAGGTTGGTGCTCAGTGAGCCAAGCTGGGAATTAATTCTTGGCTCCAGCAGCTGAAAGACTGGACTTTTATGCTGAAAAAATGCTGTAGGCTATTGGGGCTACTTGCACCTCCAGGGCACACCTTCCACCACTCCTCACCAAGAAAACCAGCAAAGTGAGCACTTGGGAGAGTTTAGTCTACAAGCAAAAAGCTTATGCAAAACTATGTTAATGAGAGTAGCAAAGTTCATTTTGGACTGGAAATAGAGATTTCCAAATGGTAATAAGAAGACTATCCTGTGTTTACCATGGCAAGTACATTTTTTTCTCAAAATATACATCAGACAGTTTGGGTTTCTTTTGCTTTGATGCACTGCTTTGTGAAATATATAAACAGAATACAGAAAAATCTTTCTCTCTCAGGGGCCTGGCAACAATGGGTTCTCTATCAGTAACTTGTTCCTACACTACTGAGCAGCTGCCTATAAGGCAGTATTGGTCTACTTTGAACAAAACGGAGATGTATTTTGAACTCCTGGGAATCTCATCTAGTATAAGAATTTAAAAAAAAGCATACTGGTATTTAAGCTTCCCCTGTGATGCCTGGATATACTGCTAATCACAAACTGTTTCTTCCAGTCTCACCATTTCCTTTTGTTCTCTTGTTTACCACCAGAGGTCTGTTTTGGTAAAGAGGTTAATTTGTTGACTCACCTAGAAGGGGAAAAAAAAAATCCATGCGTTTGATGGCTGCAGAAATTTAGGCACCAAATCCAAAATGCAAATCGTATTGGGCTTTGCTGGGGAAAAGGGTTACAACAGCTGTGCCACCCCACAGGAGTCTGTTCTGAAGCACGATTATAAAGAGGAAAAAGGTACTGAGGATGACCATTCTGTGGCAAGAATAGTTTAAATCTCTTCCACTGTAATTCAAACAAAAAGAAGGGAAAATAGACAAGTATTCACTGGCACAGACAGGGAGAAGTGTTTTTTGGCTCTGGTAACCACATGGCCATGAAAGGCCACTATAATGGAAACTGCTCTGGATTTCTCTTCGGAACAGCTGCAAGGCAGTTACTTAAATGTACTCGTTTACTTCTAGTATTTGGCTGGTAGGATCCACTGCTGGCAAAAGCAGAAAGAGAATGATGAATTTTTGTTGTTTTCTTGTTTTAAGCATTTCTGAAGCACTGTTGGAAGTCCCTGGTTCATTAAGCAACTGGAGCTCAAATCATTTCTTCTTCAAAGCTTTTACTGCAGAATTCATCTCATGCCATTCACAAAGAGAGAAGATACTAATCACTCCACAGAATACATTAATCAGTTTAGATCACCACTTGTTATGGTTCCTTTTTGCAAACCGTAAAGCCCTCTGGGACAGTAAATGCTTCTTACAGAATTATTTAACTTTCTGCTTACCGCATTATCAGACTAATCAGGTTTCTATTATATAATTTTGCTTATAGCTGAGGTATGAAGTCATCACACGTACCACAAAATATCCCCAATTTAAAAGTCAAAAAGTTCTGTTACATTTTGTTTCTCTCTCTTTAAGAGCAGAATGGCTTATCTAATCTGAAATCACTAGATTCGGCGCTACAGTAAAACCCCATTGCCAAAAACTCAAAGCATATTCTGGAATTTTTTTCATTTCACTGACGACTTTGACATATTGTGAATGGTGTTCCAGAACTATTTTCTATTCCAGATTTGAGCTATGGATAGCTAAACTACCCTGAAACATTACTTATCCTTCACATATAAACATGACCAAGATGCCTTAAGTCTGTGCTCTTAATCACCACTTCTTACATCTGGTAACAGGATGCTGAGGGGGAAAGAAGATGGGAGCAGAGAGCTTTGGACAGGTCAGTGTACAGGGAGGGTATGAAAAGACATGACTGTGGAAAATGTGTTGCTTCAGTAGAGGGTTGTAGAGAGCACCAAAATCAGTTTCTATGTTGACACACTAGCAATAAGAACATTTTGAAACACTAACAACAATTTCATACCTGGTATCAAGAAGTGACTTTCAAAAACTTTTTCAAAATGTGAATCTTTTGTTACCTGACTCAGAAGACAAATCTTGAGAAAGATACCATTTGCAATTAAATTAGCAGGAACTTCCCTCATTGTGGTGCTACAACAAGCATCCGTAGGATTCAAGCCCAAGTAAAAACCTGGCAGGGTGGGCTTCAGATTGCAAAAGATCCTGCTGAGGTCTCTGGGATTCTCCCCTGTGGTAAATAAGGGTCTATCCTTGTTTGCCATGTGCAGTTAAAGGACTGATGATAGGCAGAGGAATATTTATTACTGAGATGTATACACATATGTACATACACATACATGTGTATACAAAACAGATAATTCTAAGACTACTTTGACGAAATATGAAGGAAACCAACTATCTTGGCAATGCTAAAGGAAAGCTTAAAGATAAAAAAAAGATTAAAGATAAAGAAAGTTTAAAGTGAGGTAGCAAAACACTTCCTTTTGTAACTGAGATGCCATCTAGCTCATGCAGAAGGCATGCAAGGTTACTTCCAGGTTTAAAAAAAATCGTTTCCTTAAAACATCAGTCTCTAAATGTCTTCTGCAGCACACTGTGGCATCTGCTCGGTTTTAAAAGGCAAAATAATGTCCTCCAGAAAAAAAAAGTATTTTAATGAATATAGTTTTCTAAACTATATCCAAAATTCATTTGTATGTCAACACAAATGTGAAAGGGAAGACCATGCAGTCCCAGTCTGAAAAGTGCTTTACTTCAATACTTCCATCTAACGAGTTGTCTCTTTAGCTATGTGTCTCACTATGTTCTTGCCTGTTAAAAGGCTCTTCCTTAACCTCAGAAACATACACATGGCTCCCAGCTGACTGTTTGGAGATGTTACTCCTTTACATAGGATTCAAGACTTATCTTAACCGTCAGACCCACAATGGTTTAATGAAGTCTGTGAGAATTCATGCATGCATGTAAGTCTGCCCATATGGATATCAAATTTGAGTCCATTTTTACAACATGAGGTTGAGACAATGATATTTTTCTACCGTCATTTCCCACACTGAGATACCAGTCTTTCCTTTACTTCCTGTTGCCACTTCTTTTTGGCTCCCAAGTCAAATCTCATTGAAGCACAGTCTCTAAAACCCAAGTGTGGAGGAAGAGCTGTCTGGATTACCAGTCAATGACCAGAATCATCCATTTATCTCTAGTCTTTGGTCTAGTGATGCAAGTCCAGGGCAGGATTTATTCAGCAGAAAGTCCCTGCAGACACAGGAGATGTGTATTTGTTTGTGTGTTAAGTACAACAGAACGGTGACTATGCTGATCATCAAGTCCTTGACAAGCGATAGGTTTTCTTCCACCTATTCTTGCACCACAGTTGACCTTTGAAAGGGCATTTATCCTGAAGAGCAATCCTTAGATACACAAATTTTTTATACATAAAGAAGGCTCTGAAGAGAGAAACCATGGAGGCAGAGGTACAAATGCCTTTCAGAACACGTGGGGAAACGGCCTGGGGGAGCCTTTCTCCAGAAAGGGAGAACAGTCTGGCAGCAGCCAGGCAGCCTGGGACACAACCACACAGCATCCAACTCCTAGCAGGTATTCTATCCTGCTGTAAAGACACAAAATCCTTCTCTGACCCTAACAGGGACAGAGACTTGAAAAACAACAAAAATACTTCTAAAATATACTAGTTCTCCATTTGAAACACAGGAGGAAGAGGAGCACAAAGAAGTTTCTCCAAGGCAGATTTTGGATTCAGCTCATTCCACATCACCACCCATTAGCAGACATGTTTTTTGTAACTTCACAGGGTCCAGGGATCTCTGAACTACTGCACTTCTCAGTGCCTATTGCTAAGAGGTGTAGTCTCCTGAGCCAAAGAATCTCCAGCAAACAACAACAACAACAAAGCAAAATAAACATTAGATCTCAAATTTTCTGACATCTACTTTAACCAGTTGTGGTGCCCTCTTCAGCAAAATACACATCCTTAGAAGTTTTAAGTTGTAACAGACACTTGGGTCTCTATGAAGTCAAAGGGACTTCAAAAATGCTTTTCTGAGATGAAATCTTGACTGTTATTAACACCTACTTTTCTGTTTGTAGTATTTACTTCACCAGAAAACACAAGTACTTGGTGTTCAGTACATAGAGCTGAAGAAATCACTTAGGTATTTATAAATATCAAGTCTGAAACATGCTCTTTGATTCATGAAAGCAAGATTAGTGTGTTAGTAATTTTAAGTATGTTATCAATTTTATTGCTGCTTTTGGCTTAAAACTTAGCTTTTCTGATAAGAACACTGAACCTGAAATTTCCTGCAGTATTATTCCAATTGAACCACATTATGACTTTCTTCTACTTTGTATTCATTATGCACAGTAAAAATCAAACCATAGTGCAGGGATCACCTACATGGAGTCAATAAAGATTGTATTTTGCCATGTATTTTATTCTACAAATAATAGAATAACACAGGAATATCACGTGTCGAAGTATAACAACACTCTTAGCAAATTATGAGAGTCTTTAATACAATACTTCAGGAAAAGTTCCCTCGATGACTCAGAAGTGAGACAGGAGAAAAAGCTAGGATTCAATAAGGAAGTAAGAAGGAGGTTCAGTTGGTTCAGCTGTCAGAGTTCCATCATGGTCCACTCACCTCAATCACTTCAGGTTGGGACATCATGGAGGACGGCACCAAATCAGTGGGGATATCCATGGTAGCTCAAAATGTCCCTGCTGTCCTTGCACCCTTCCTCTGCACCCACAGACCCTTGGTAGGAACACAGAAGCACTTCCTCAGACCCTAGTCATGCTGTCATTTGCTCCTAGTAGGAAGGAAAAAAAATAATTGTTGAGAATACACAAGAGAACTGGATATGCAGTCAACACCCAAGCCCCTCGGCTGCTGCAAAACCATCCTGTGAGTTTGCACAACACAACTTGCTTACATGACCATTCACAACAGATTTCCAGGAGAAGTTTCAATGGGCACATTGGAATTTGGTCCAGAACAGCAAAACAATTCACTTGACCACACAAACCAGAATTCGCACAAACTGAATACAGTCAGAAGGCTAATGCACAGACCATGTACACATTTGCAAGGAAAGATGGTCACCTCCAGAACACTGGAATCATGTTAACGTTTCGGGGTTTTTTTTGTTTTTGTTTTTGGTTTTTTTTTTACCCCCCCACCAAATTAAAAAAAAAAAAAAAAGCCCTCACAGGAGATTACTCGTAGAATTACTTGCTGGAATTTAGGATACATTTAATTCCTCAACATCTATTGTTTACAGTTCCATGATCACATGAACTTTTCTTCTGTGTTACAAAAAAATAACTTAAATATCATGCCATCCTTAGCCTTAATTTATTTTAACTGTATTTACTATTTTTGCCAGATAGGCACAGATTTGCTGTCAGTGAATATACTGAATTCTTGTGTAAAGTTTGATCAGATGATCCAACAGAATGAACTTATTTCCCTAACTATCATGTTTAGCAAGGTTAGATCAGCTTCTGCAAATGCTCCTACTCTTTTGTGCAAAGAAAACCGAACAAAAGGGGAGAAAACTGTAAATGACCAAGAAATTAATCCCATTTAAAAATTCCGGACTAAGGCTACTTCAGTTTTTTTCCCTCAATCAGCTCAGACATATACCACACAACCCACAAATTAGCCACCAGAGAAAGGATTTTGGAGAGACACCTACCGCTCTCTGTATCTACCACTTCCTATTCTGTAAATCACAGCGGAAAACCACTCATACTAAGTGTATTCAGGATCCAACAAACATACCAAAAATGATCCCAAACCTAACTGGTATTTTTCAAACTGAGACCATGGTGCTGTCATACAGACAATACTAGTAACTTTCCTGGCCACTGGTTCATTTTTTCAAAGGCAACACTTACTTACCAAGCCAAGAAAGAACAGATAAGTGCTGTAGGAAAGCTGTACTCCAGATGCTTTCCTGAGTCAGTTATGCCACCTTTTTTTTTGTCTTGTTCATTTAGACTCAGTCTTTGCACACCACTGTGGAAATTATTCCTCCTTCTTAAAAAGCATCATCCTGAAATGCCTGCTTCACATTTCAACACATCCCCACATGCCTTACGTCACATGTAGCCGTCTCATCTTCCAAGCCCTAGGATCACTTTTTCCATCTTTATATAGCTTTCCAGTGACCCCTATTCTTTCCTACTCATTTCTTGCTAGTAACCTTTCATTCTTTCCACTCCTTGCTCCAAATTTCTACTACTATACTCACAGAGAGGGCAGAAAATGGAGATTAGCATTCCTCCAAGAAAGCCTTCACTGAAGTCAGAGAATCTAGATACACATCCTTCAGGCTTCCTGTTTTCTTTTCAAAAACAGAGTTTTGTCTGTTTTCTGAAATTCACTAATTTTTCCACCGTGCATGACAGATGAAGGAAACAAATAGCATCAACTTGAAACTACTGCTCTTCTGATTTAGGGAAGCTTTGCTATTTGACCAAGAAGAGATTAAATTTCAGTAAAACTCCATCAACAGCCTCAAGATCCTCAACCAGCACATTTCATCACTGTCTTGTGAGCTGTCACAAATGTAACTTAAATAAGACCTCAGAAGACCTTTGTTTCTGTTCTTCTCAAAACACACTTAAGTACAGCAGTTCATTATTAGTTTCTTTTAAAATTTATTCTCTTCTCTTAATCCTAAAATGCTGCCACTTTTGGATAATGAAGATGGGGAACACTATCTAGACCAAAACCAGAGGTATGCTTAGAATCCTGTTTTCCACATATAAAAAGGAGAGAAAACGATCATTTTTACTAGGGAGCATCACAGAACAGAAGAGAAAAACTAAAGAGAAAAAAGAAAAAATCTTAAGTCTGTTCAGCCTTTAGCTAGCTCTGTGTACTCCAGGTAGAACATAAATGTCAGAAAAAGCTTAACGCCATAAAATCCAATGAGCACTTCAACGCAGATGAGAGAAATATGCCTGTAGTCATTTTTCACCACTGTCCAAGAAATAGAAAACACAGGATTAGTACGAAATTCCAAAGCCTATGACCATTTCACATTTCCCCTTCTGCACCTAGCTGCATTTTCATTGCTTGTATTGCGCTGATCCCTCAGTTTGGCTAGGAAAAGGAAGGCTCTTCTACACACACCTTGGTTCTCAACCTCCTGAGCACAGCATACACACAATGATTAAGAGTTTCTGCCAATTAGGCTCCTAAAAGCATTCCAGCTGAAAACAGGTTAGACTTTACAAAAGGACTCTCCCCCCTGATCCCAACCTGCCTCGTCTTCTTCAGCAATAATGAATCACAGAGGGGACTGTGCTTTCACGGCAGTGCAAAAACAGGCTGACTGCATCCAAGCAAACAAAGGTGGCTCCTAACTTGATATCCGTGTGAGTTCAGGGTGCAGCCCCATGTTTTTCAAGAACTGCAAATAAAGGGAACAGGATCCTCAAATGAACTTCGCTAAAGGGCACTATGACAGAAAATGTAATCTCTACTAAAAAGAAAGCCTGAAACACAAAAGCACAGGAGTGGCTTCTTACTAATGAGATTTTGATGGCTTGCTGCACTACAAAGCATTGAAAAAAAGACCCAAATTTGGAAGTAGAATCACACATATAATTCCCAAACACTGGAACTGCAGGTGTCATGAGCGAATACCACTCTACGTACTCTTCTCTTGATAGACACTGCTGTCTGTACAGAATGCATCTGGAGGACTGCAAAGTGGGGAAACACGTTAGATATGTATTTAAAAATTGTAAAAGGAAGATCATAGAATTTCTTATCCTCTGTGAAGGTGACTCATCTCTAAGAAATAATGTTTCACCATAAACTACAACATTTAGATAGTAATTTATGGTAACACATTGAGTTTTTGGTTAACGGAGGAAAAATAATAATCAGCTAATGCTCAGCAGAGTAGCGCGTATCTAACACACAGAGCAGGAATGCATCCTCACCAAACAACACATACTGCTCTCCGACATGCTATGATTAAGCATCATGATTTCTGGATCAGCTGTCCGAGACCACAGAAAAGAGGAACCATGCAGTTTTGTCATTACTTGGAGTAGTTAGGAGAAATGCAATCATGCATCACAAAAACATCCATCTTGAAGGAACTGCTTCCGGAAAATGCACTACAATGACAAAGATTATTACCCTTATTCCTCCCCAGTTTCTTGCACAGTACATCATGACCTGCAATATAGGAGTAATACGGCAATACCAACAACTTCTGCATCACTGTGTATCTCATCTGGGCCAATATACAGTGCCTCTGCTAGAGTAAGGTGCTGAGACTGACAGGCTAATTGGGTTTTCACAATCTGCGGCTGTCTCCTGTGTCAGACAATTTCAGGTGTCCTGCATTGTTACCGCCTTTCAGCTTTGGTTTCCTGCACCCCTACCAGAGCATCTTTTGGTACCACAGCTTGACTTCACAGGCTTCAAGTTTCTGTATCACATGACTGAAGATGCTGATTTGGTATGACCTTGAAACTGTTAAATGTGACTTAGCTAAACAAAGCTCCCTGCACACCTCTAGTGAATAAAGGACTAACTTACGGTTTCTCAGAGGACAGTTTTAAGTCCTAATTGATCCCAGATGGATAGAACCCATAAACCCATCAAGGGAAAGAAAACATTCGAACAACATGTAAAAAGGTGAAAGAGTAATAAAAAGATCTCACATAAGGGTCCCACTTCCAGATGTCACTTCAGAGACATTCCAGATTTCATGTGGCATCTGAAATCCTGCCATCCAAAAGTAATCATTTGGCATCACTCACCTCTGGCAGCCTCCTTCACTGAACAACTGCTGCCTGTAAGCATTAGTTTGTTCAACACACAAATAAAAGCATGACCCCACCATGGCAGCCTTACGAAGCAAAAAGGCAAGCGATCACCATCCAGGGAAGAGCAACAGCAATGACCTGACCTGCCTACCACTTCATTTTACCACTTGTTAAAGTGATGGTGATAATATGAATTTTTAGGTACCTACTATGGACTCAGAGGTGTTTTTCTGCTCTCCAGTAACCACTTGGTTAATAAATGAACAACTACAGATAAACTGTCTAGCATATAAGAAAATAAACATGAAAGGCAGAAAAATTTGTTTCAATTTCACGCTGCTAAGAAAAGAGAAGAGGCCTTCCTGTTACTCCTTCCTCTACTATAGAGACTGCTAGAACTATTGCAATAATTCGGATTTTCTTTTGCAAGTTACAGAGCACTAGATCTTCTTCCTAACAGAAAGATATTAACTCTTCTGAGTCCTTACATTATTTTAAGTAAAGCCTTCACCACCTCTGATGTTGTCACTTTGAACAGTAGATGTACAGATTCACTTACACAAATGCAATTCACTAGCTTAAAAGTGGTCTGAAAAAGTTATTTAATAGTGACTCTTCAAACATTGAAACTTCTCTTGACATATACTTTAAAGCAATTGATAAAAACCCCCTAAAAAACCCCAGGATCTGTCAACATGATTTCATATGTGAGCAGCGGTACCTGCAACTGTGAAACGATAGTCTCAGCAGACTGGCAAAGGGCAAACCACACCACAGAAATGCACATAAGAAGCTCTTGGTCTCCCTGAAATTGCAAGATGATTCAAACTCTAATGTCAGTATTGACTTCTTTCAGTTAGTTTCAGCAAGCCTTTGCATAAACACAGCACTCATTTTTTATTTTTTTTTTTTGCATTCATCGTTCACTACTAGTTAAAATGAGGGGAAAAGCCACATGCCAGTTCCCTGTCCTGTCACCTCAGGACTTTCCTCCTCTTTCCTCGCATGGCAT